GGGTGCACGTACCCCTTCGGATCCCTACATTTGTGTGTGTGTGTGTGTGTGTGTGTGTACCACATCTTCTTTATCCATTCATCTGCCGATGGACATCTTGACTCTTTCCATAGTTCGGCTATTGTGGACATTGCTGCTATAAACATTGGGGTGCACATACCCCTTTGGATCACATATTTGTATCTTTGGGGTAAATATGAGGTAGCAATTTTGCTGATTCTATTGACAGCTTAATAAACAGAGAGCCAACTGAGTTGGCCTCTTGTGAGGAGAACAACCCTACAGCAGTGGTACCAAGAAACAGTGAACCTGAGAACTGGAAGGGCAACTCGTTGGAACCTGTCAAGAGATCTGAGGTTGAGTGTATTCAGTACGGTCACGAATAGTGGTTTGTCGTTCGACAGTTAATTTGAAGAATTCAAGAGAGTGCATGCCAGGTTTCCCCAGCCCTTTATTTCTTCAGAAGATTCTAAAAAAGGTAGAATTTGGGTTTGGGGGGCTTCGGATTTTTTAGATTATTTATCTCTTTAATTTTGCTTGACTCGTCACTACCTCCATCCCTTTCTCAACTTTACCAGTATAGACTCAATTTAATTGTGCCTCAGAGATCCTCTGAACAAGATATAGGAAGGCATACTAGTCACACTAACAGAATGTGTATTAGGTTAATAAAGTGCACCACCAGGTAGAAGAAGCCATTGTGAGATCTTTAATTCTGTTTTTATATTCCACAGTCTGGTTCTGTTTAAATCAGAGGCAGTTTCAGGAAAAATGAGTCAAGGCCACTTATAAACGATTCTGGAAATCTGTCAGCTCTCTGGCTCAATCGTCTTTCTGGAAGAGTGAGGCCCGCTCTCATATACATGTGAGGCTATTCATCCGTCTCACTTCATTGTTGAGCTTCCCGTGCAACTGAAGGCAGAAAGTTTGTCATTGTGTTGATGACTTAACTAAGTTCCTTTATTATGTATCATGGGAAAGTACCTTACGATTCCTCCAATATATGAACCCTGAAGACTAAAATCTATAAATGATGAGAGAGTATGCATTAAAGCGAAAATCACTTCCCATGCAAATAATTTCCCTTTCTGAGGGAAATGACTTGGAAAGGTCAGATTTCTAAGTGTTTGTCTTTGGGGACAGCTTAATCAGTTAAAACATTGAAGTCCACTCCTTTTTACTCTTCACTTATAAAAGTGCAGCTCTTATAAATGATGTGGTGAACTCTGTCTGGCGGAGAGGGTTAAAGGAGGGAATTGAGTCATTTTTTTTAGATTTTATTTATTTATTTATTTGATAGAGAGAGACACAGCAAGAGAGGGAACACAAGCAGGGGGATTGGCAGAGGGAGAAGCAGGCTTCCCGCTGATCAGGGAGCCCAATGCTGGGCTTGATCCCAGGACCCTGAGATCATGACCTGAGCTGAAGGCAGACGCTTAATGACTGAGCTACCCAGGCACCCCTGAATTGAGGCATTTCTGGAGCCCACATTTATACCTGCCATATACCACCTAGTCTGTGGCAAAAAGTACATAGCAAGAGCTCCCCACATATATCCCATTTTTAAGACAGGCATGCTGCTTTATTTTCATGTTATTTAAAGTTAAAAGATCAGCCTTGATGAGAAACAGACTTGGCAGCCCCCAGGAAATCACTGTGTGCTACAGATGAGCTCCCCCAAATGTGTCTCTTTGCAGCTGCAGAACAGCACAGTGATGTGTAAATGTGTTGTTTATTTTTCTATGTCTCATATGGAAAATGTGACATTTGTGTGTCTGCATTCATGTTCAACTCTAGAAATGCTTAACATTCTTCGGTTATTTGTTGACATCAAATTAAGGTTCCGGACATACAAAAACATTTGTTTGAAGTTGCAGTCTCTCAAATGTGAATCTTGGTACTTTTTAAGGTCACAGACTGAGTTTGAAAGTTGGTTCTGAGTATGTAGACTAGAGAACTTATTTGATAAATCTACCAAATGTACCTAATTCTTGGGCCACAGAAGCCCTTGGGACTGGCAGGATTGTTTTTCATTTCTACTAGAACATGGGGCTTTTAAGGACATTATATCACATGGGATTTTAAAGGAGTTACCTTAAAATAATTATGCACTGAACTTTAGAGATGCTTTGGTACTATTTATATGATTTTCCAAACTCAGGGCTGACTTAATTAAGTTAACCTACTTAGAGGTTTTACTTATTGTATATCTCCTTCTTCTTATTGAGGTAATAACACATAAAATATTTACTTGATTCTAATATCTTCTGCCTTTTTTTTCATAGCATACAAAGTGCAGCTTGATTTCAGAATATTTAGAAGTGAGAATGAAAATTTACTTCTTCAGTAGTAAGGTTTTTAATCTTCAGAGTCCTTGTTAGGTACTACAAACCCATCATAACACTTAAGTTATAAATGAATGGGTCTCCAAACTCATAAGATTTCAGTTATAAAGCAATAGGAATACACACTACAGATTTGGAGTTTCTTTTCCTAGCCTTTCAAAACCTAGATGTTGATTGCTTAGTATTTCATGTAAAAATAAGAATAACCAGCATATGCCTTGTGACTTTCAGAAAGGCATCTGTGTATGCAGTCGACCCTAAGACAAATTGGGTATTTAGAAACAATGAAGTTTGAAGACTTCTTAAATTATTCTTGGAGGAAGCATCCCCTAAAAGGAGTAGTTTTCATAATGTATAGCTCTTCACAGACAGAAGCAGAATTTTGAAAGTCTTCTGATTTCATTTATTTTTTTTAATCCTGTATAGTCATTTTCAAAAGCGGAAGCCAAGTTTTCCAGAGTAAAAATTTCTTCTTCTTTGTCTGTTTGTTTGTTGTCCTACAGCTGGGGAAAATTCTACGAAGCCCTTTTATGAAGTTTGTAGCACATGCTGCTTCTTTCATCATCTTTCTGGGCCTGCTTGTGTTCAACGCCTCAGACAGATTTGAAGGCATCACCACGCTGCCCAATATCACTGTTATTGACTATCCCAAGCAGATCTTCAGGGTGAAAACCACCCAGTTCACGTGGACTGAGATGCTAATTATGGTCTGGGTTCTTGGTGAGCTTACTATTTTGAATATTCTAATTTCTACCAAAAAATAGTGTCTGTATAATGATTATCTTTTTTTATCTAAAATGTTATCGTGCATTTTTGGTGACAACATCATCATTGTAAGATAAGCAGAAGAGCAAAATAATTGAATAATTTGGCAGCGTGATGATACTGAAAGGTATCCCTTAACACTAAATAACAATTTTTATGAGTAACAAGAGCCTAATTATAAATATACCACGTTTCTAACTTTAATTATTGAGAAATGTAAATTTAAAAAAATGTGACTCACCATGATGATCAAATATTTAATTGAAATACTTGTGAAATAAGCCGGTAGCCATTAACTGATGATTAAAGAACATTTTTTGTTTTCATTTCAGAGGTTTTTTTTACGAGAGTTTCCATTTTCAGAATGCTTGTTATTTCACCTTACAATAGTCCATTTTTTTGCTTTTTTAAATTTTTATTAGCGAAGTGTAGTTGACATGCAATGTTATATTAGTTTCAGGTGTACAACATCATGATTTGACAAGTCCGTATATTACTCAGTGCTCCCCACAATAAGTGTAGTCTCCATGCAGTGTTATTACAATATTATTGACTATATTCCCTGTGATGTACTGTTTAGCTCCATGACTTATTTATTTTATTAACTAGAAGTTTGTATACCTCTTAATGTCCTTTTTCTCCTACCCGCCTACCCCCCCGCAACTGACCGACCCTCTGGCAGCCACCACTTTGTTCTCTGTATTGAAGAGTCTGTTGCTGTTCATTTGTTTTGATTTTTAGATTCTACATGGAGGTGAAATCATATGGTATTTCTTTCTCTGACTTCTTTCACTTACTCTGTACCCTCTAAGTCCATCCATGTTGTCACAAACCTAAGATCTCACTTGTTTTTATGGCTGAGTAATATTCCAGTGCATGTAGTGTGTGCGCGCGTGTGTGTGTATGTGTGCGTGTGTGTGCGTGTGTGTGTGCCTGTGCGTGTATGTTTGTATGTGTGTGTATGTGAATGTGTGTGTGCGCGTGTGTGTGCACGTGTGTGTGTGTGTGTATACACATATGTGTGTGTATATATCTATATATATATCTCACATCTTTATCCATCCATCAACCGATGGATGCTTAGGTTGCTTTCATATCTTGGCTCACAAGAGCCCATTTTGAATAGCTATGTTAAAGCTAAAAACTTGAAGCCATGAGAGGGAAAAAATGGAGGTAGGAACTCGTTTATCTATCCATCACTAATTCAGAGTCACTTTATTCTAGTCTCTCTGTTTTACCCAGAGTGTTTTTGGTATCGTCTCAATTCCTGAATTAATAGGTTGGTTATTCCCCTCATTCACTCCTGTGGACTCAACTTACATCAAATAATTATTTTATAAATTTTATTTTGAGCTATGACATTTTTTAAAATTCCACAATATCTTCTCCTTACATGGTCAGGACAAGTTGTTAAATTGGAACATTTGGCCCCCTTCTCCGAGAATGGCATCTTCTGCTTTCCATTTCTTCACAATGTCCTAGGGCCCCTGCTTAAGGTTTCCTTTTTACAGTGATATTCCTCACCTCCCTGGCATGAAACTAGAAAGAGGAGAGAAGGTAAGGGAGTGATGTAAGTGTTCCTGTGTGATTGGGAAACTGATCTTGTTAAGAGTCTATATAATAAGTTTCTCATTTAGGGATTTAGTTCACCAATAATTACTATGGTGTGATAACCATTGGGATCCACAAAGATGAACTTTCTCCTCTCCCCCAAAAGTCTCATAGGGCAAAATCATTTGACTTAAAGAGTCTTCTTTGCTTATTTTCCTTCCCTCTTTCCTGCCCACCCCTCTGCATAAGTAGCACCATTGCTGGTGCCAAATGTAGAACTATGTTTCTCCAAATTCTAATTCTGACTTAGTTGAAGATTTTTCCTCCACTTAACTCTGCCCAGGGCCTCAGGGAGCTGAACAAGAGCTGGTGCTTGGTGGTGCCTAGTATGATGTGCCTTATCTATGGAGGCTTTTCTAGATGGGGACTGATGGGGGACAAAGTAACAGCTTCTCAGTCTAAGCTGTAAGAGGTAATCTGTACCTTCTGTGTGTGACAGGAATGATGTGGTCTGAGTGTAAGGAACTCTGGCTGGAAGGACCTAGGGAGTATATTTTGCAGTTGTGGAATGTGCTGGACTTTGGGATGCTCTCCATCTTCATTGCTGCTTTCACGGCCAGATTCCTAGCTTTCCTTCAGGCGACAAAAGCACAACAGTATGTGGACAGTTATGTCCAAGAAAGTGACCTCAGTGAAGTTACACTTCCACCAGAGATCCAGTATTTCACTTACGGTAAGTTATTAACTATAGGCTCCTCATATGAAAGGTCCTCAGAAAAGGTACTGAAATCACATTTTGGAAGGAAGTGTCCATATGTTTAATATGAGATGTGTGTTGAATGTATATGAACAGAGGAGAGAGCATGAGATTTGGAACTATACAAAATTGGATTCCTGTTGAGTCTATGACTCTCCCTTGCTGTGTGTGACTTTGTTCAAGTTAATTTCCTTCTCTGTGTCTCAGTTTTCAAATGTATATAAAGAAGATGTTGCAAGGTAGGAGAAAATTATCTTTAAGCCTAACAATATAATTACTCTCATATATTGTGAAGGTATGAAACTGTCTTAATTAGGGGGAAAAATACCTTGATAAGCTGATTGAAGTGGAAGATGAATCCCTGAGAGTGTGGTTCAGAGGAGATGAACTGACCATTGACCACCTGCCGTACAGGTGAAGTGAACAAAAACTCAGCAGAGGCAGGAACTAGGAGCCAAAATGACATGACAATGTAAGCTCTGGAGAACAGGCAGAAATACTGGGGCGAATGTCCTGCCTCTCAACATGAGGTGGAAGGGAATGCCTAACTTCTCTGTATCATGAAAAGCAGGGAGACCCCAGCTGATAACCATTGTGCAAGGATATTGACTCCTTCCTTGCCCAGCACAAACCAGTGGTAAGCAATGTGAGCCTCCCCTCCCTTGAGGCCAGATTGGGGAGGTGCGATTAGCAGATTTTCATGTAGTTGTACAATCTTAAATCTGGAAAGGACTTTAGAAATTTATTACCTACCCCTTATTTTACTGATAGGGAAACTCAGGCACAGAGTTCAAATGTTTTCTGATTGTGAAGAATAATTGTTTATAAATGTAAGTAAGGCTTACATTGTGATAACTATTAAGTGGCATGTTAACATTGAAGAAGACCGGGTGCTTGCTCAAAAATATAAAATGTACATTTCACACATTGTGAACTTTAAACACATTATCTCCTATTATCAGCAAGCAAAGATTTTTATATGCCAAGGACTCCAGATCAAATGAGTAAATGATTACCATTTATAATTAAAGAATTAGCTTAAATTGTATTTTTGTATAATATCTATCCTGACTATTTCAGTAACCTATTTATTTAAATTTATTAATGTGTATCTAATGATTGTCATCTGGAGGGAAATTTGTGAGTTCAGGATTTACTTCTTATTGTGTGTATGATTTTGATCAACTATTTAGCCTTTTTAAGTCTTGGTTTCTGCATCTCTGAGGAGCGGATAATAATAACATCAAATCCATAGAGTTATAGGAACACTCAATAAATGTTAACTTCTATTGTTGCAAATGTCTACAACATATCCATTCTTCTGGGAGTGACTCAGTTTGCACAAAATTAGCCACATAGTATTTCATTGACCTTCCAGGGAAATGAGTATCCAGTAGTCAGCTGTGAACTTACTAAGCCATCTTGAAAGGGGTGGGTCCTCATTTAGAATCCATATCCCAAATTTTTGCACCTCAGTAGCATTTTACATTTTCCAGGAACAAGTCATATTGCTCAGATATCACACCGACAGCACCACTGTGATTCAGTTGACATTCTTACTTCTCATAATATGACATTTTACTTGCACAAACTGTTAGATGAACTAATTTCCCTATGAAATATGAAAAAGAAGTTTTGTGCCAACTGAGCCTATGGGATGACAGAACAGTTCGTCAATAAATCTAGTAATGAGGGGATAAATTAGTCAAGTCTGTTGTTTTGTCATTCTGGACACAGTCAGTCTCTGATGAAGGGTTTTAACTTCTTTCTTTATCTTTTGTACTTGATTCTGTTTCTACTCAATGTGAAGCAGGCTTAGTATCTTTATAATAGTGTTTCCTCCATTAAAAGATTCCATGTGAGTGTGGAATTCATATGTTTCTGGTTTAACATGAAAAACAGTGCCTGGACAGTTAATTAAATCTAGAGTAGTTTCAACCAAGATAAAAACCACCTACCTAAAAAATAGATATTATTTAAGGTATTTATTTTGCATGGCTAACAATGACTAGGAAGTTCCATTTCTAATCTCTCTCTCTCTCTTTTTCTAGCCAGAGATAAATGGCTCCCTTCTGACCCTCAGATCATATCTGAAGGCCTCTATGCCATAGCTGTTGTCCTCAGCTTCTCTCGGATTGCGTATATTCTTCCTGCAAATGAGAGCTTTGGCCCCTTGCAGATCTCTCTTGGAAGGACTGTGAAGGACATTTTCAAGTTCATGGTCCTCTTTATTATGGTCTTTCTTGCCTTTATGATTGGCATGTTCATACTGTATTCTTACTACCTTGGAGCTAAAGTAAATGCTGCTTTTACCACGTAAGTAAAACATCTTATGAAAAAGGTACGATGAAGAGAATTTCTAACAAATCTAGAGGAAGCAAACACACAAAAAATTCAGAAATCCTAATAAAGATGTTTTTAAGGGGAAAAAAATCCGTTGAAAACAATGCTTATGTGTGATTACATTGCTCCAAAGGATCATTTCTTTGAGCTTAGTAAGTGTTCGACCACGAAACAGAATCAGAATTTGAAAAATCCTAGACAAAACTGACTATTTCGAGAGAATTGGGCAGCAAATTTTTAATACAGGGTGTCCCTTACATTATGTATGACATTAAACTTAGTTTCATCATTTTGTAGCCATTACTATTCAAAAAAGAAGCATTGTCTTTTATTTTAATGTATCATTAATCAGTACAGGAGGTGAGTAAGAAGAAATTAGAGCTCAATGTTGTACGGCTCACTGTAACACTAAAACCACTTCCTTCCTGTGGCCACACTGGTTTCTGCGCTGGGGACTCACCTTGCCTGGGAAGTCTTCCTTGATTAAACTTCCTTAGTCATTGTCCCTTGAAGTTCCCTCAGCATGGACACATCCAGTTGTGAGATCCTCTCACTCATTGGTGTCTAGTGGTCAAGATGTGGGCCCTCCTTTTTACTGTAGTCATTCCAGGTAGGGAGATCATAAGCCCTCCCTGCCTCACTTCGTACCCTGTCGTGCCACGACTGGAAAGAATCTAGATCTTTGGTAAGTTCCCTGCAGACTAAAATAGAATATTAAGCCCTTTCAGGCATCTAAATTGTTTTGAAATGATTTTTTTCCAAAAACTTATATAGAGCAAGTCTTAGGGCTAAAAGAGAACTGAAACTCCCTTTATTGTAATGAAAAAAAAAATCTGTTTGAACCCACTTGGGGAGGGACAGAGAGATCCTACACACAGCACCACCCCTTTGAACTCTGTGAGAACTCATCTTATACAACACATTGTGTTCACTGTTTTGTGTAAGGATGTGGCAACTTGATATGGTGAAAAGAATATAGGCTGGAAAATCAGGCAGATCTGGATGTGGATGCAGTCTCTGCTGGTTTCTGGTTGTGGTTTTGGTCCAGTTACTCAGCTGTCCTCAGTGTTAGTTTCCTTCTTTTTAAAATAAACACAGTAAGGTTGGAGTCAGGTTGTTGTGAGGACTATATAAGGTCATTGATAGAAAGCCTCTTGCACACAGTAAGTGCTCAGGAACTGTCTGTGTCCTCCCCTTTTCCACTGTCTGCCTCTTCCCATACATACAGATTCTCAGGAATCTGTATTCTTGAAGTTAGAGGTGAGAAGGTCTGCAAAAGAACAAGACAAAGGAGTCAGAGAATTTGGGGTTACTGTTACATTAATGGCAAGGAATGAAGAGATTATAGTTTTTCTTAGTCTCCTGCTACCATCTATGCTATAACATCACACAATGAAATGTTTTATGATAGAGAGTAACTGCATAGAAGTAGGAACCTTTCTGTTAAAACTTCTACCCTCAGGGTCTAGCACACTTTCTAGAACATAATAGTTGTTCCATCAATATTTGCTGAATGATGGAATGAATAAACCAACTAGTACTAAAACCTGTAAATCTATAGAATTGTTATTTAGAATCTGTTACAATTTTTTTTTTTAAAAAAAAGCACTGTTACTATAACTGTTTCTTTGGAAAAAGGACTGACTTTTGAACCTTCTGTGTAATGGAATTCTACATGTGTAATTGTTTAATTTAAGGATTATTTTTGTGATTCACAAAGCAGTGAGTACAACTTGGTTATATGCCAAAACCAGGCAAATTCAGTTGGCAAAGTTCATTGAGGGGATAAAAGTAGGTAAATAATCTGGTAAGGGCCTAAGTGTTCATCTCTATGATGAAAGACTCAGGGATTAAGTTACATAAATTAAAGGAAAAGACCAGGAATCTTTCAATCTGTTGCCTCCTTTTCATTTCCAGTTAAGTACAACTTTTAGGTAGGGAATATATTCTTGTGGCAAAAAATTCACAGAGTGGCGTCTACAGTGAAAAGCATCTGTCCCCTTCTTCACCACTGACCCCAGTCTCTTATTTCTCCTTAGTTCACAGAGGCAATGGTTTCTTTTGGATACTTTCAGAGATAATTTATACATAAACAAGATTATAAGTATTTGTAAACCCCTCTTTTTTAGTCAAATGATAGACTATTTCACTCTTGCTATGTCTTATTTTTTACCTAATAGATCTCAGATATCATTTTATATAAACACATGTAGATGGATCTGTCTCATTGTCCCAGTGGCCACATGCCATCCATCATATAGATGTCAGAATTATTTACCCAGCCCCCTATTGATGGGTATTTAGGTGGTTTTCATTCTTCCCTGCTGCCACAGTACAGGGAATGTGTTTGTACATACTTTTTTTTGAAGTGAGTATATAATTTTTATCCTGGCCTTGTTCTACTCCAGAAAACCTGATTTAAATGTCTAAACCACCAATAAAATCAACCCCCAAATTTCCATCCTCCTAGGGGAAAGGAATGGGTATCATGGCATGACGTTCAGCTTTCCTCTGCTGAGTTGAGAGAATTTTCACTTGATAACTTCCAGAAAAGCTGGGCATTGGCACTATTTAATCACAAACTCCTGAAAACCTGAGAGAATGATCTCTATTAAATACTATGATAAAATAATTATACTCTTGGGGTTTATTATGATGATATTTAATGATGGCATTTTACTTCTGTACAGAATTCAGACCCTAACTTGTTTCTCTTTTGACTTTTTCATACTGAAAACTGTCAGTTTATTTACTGTGTACCTTATTCTTTCAACAGTGTAGAAGAAAGTTTCAAGACTTTGTTTTGGTCGATATTTGGGTTATCTGAAGTCACTTCCGTTGTGCTCAAATACGATCACAAATTCATAGAGAATATTGGATACGTTCTTTATGGAATATACAATGTAACTATGGTGGTCGTTTTACTCAACATGTTAATTGCTATGATTAATAGCTCATATCAAGAAATTGAGGTAAACCTGCTTTCTATCCATGGTGTCTATTCTTGCCATCCCATTCTAATAGTACATCACATCTGTTTCTGTGCCCTATGGTGGATTTCCAGCTCATCTAAATAGAGAGGCTTATATCCAAGCAGAGTCAGGACATTTCCCTACATTTTCTTCCTGGGTAGATAGGCCCCCAGCCTCCAGTGTCTTCTAGGAGCACAGCAGGGGTCCCCCTGAATTTACCATCACTCTGCCTCCTCAGTACATTTCAAGTTTTGAAATTTGGGGGGCCAGAAGTATTGGCTATAGGGAAATTATTCTCTCCTAGGTTAGCCAGCCAACCATCGGAAAAATCCCAGTAGAGGAATTACTAGATGTATGGCAAACACTGGTGATGTTCCGTATCCTGTCAGAATTTTTAGTATTGTTGAAGTTATCCTACTTCTTGTTTTGGATTGGGCTTGGTTTGATACCTTCCTTCATCATCATATGTGTGCTTTCCCTTGTCCTCCAGGTTAGTGTTCAGTATCTCTTTAGTGCTTTGCTGTTTGTTAAATGCACCGAGTCTGTGTGTGTTTTAGAAACATACAAAAAGGTTTCTCAAAGCAGAAGTTAGGTCCTCCAGAAATGAAAACTGTGGGATCCTGAATACCTGTTTGAGTGTGGTAATAGCAGTTCTGGGCGGTGTGAGATAAGCAAGCCAACTTCTCCCACCTTTGGACCCCCCTCCTCTTCATTTCTTCTCTCCATCACCATGGGCCAGGACTGAGAATCAAAGTGTTGCAGGATTTTTCCTCCTTCGTTGGTGCCCAAGGTTCTTGGTCACGCTGCTTGCAAGAATGAAGAGGTGGACCAGACAGAGTGGTGGGAAACAAAGCAAAAGTTTATTGAGTGATAGCAAAGTGGTAGTATGAAGCTCCCAAGGAGGGAGGGGATCCAAGAAGGTTGCCACCAGAGTTTCTAAGTCTAGGGGTTTTTATGGGCTTATTGACAGGCTGTTTTAATCTGATTAACCCTCCCCGTGCCTGTCATCCAATCAGGTTTTTGTCACTGATCACATGGGAAGGGATGGAGTGCTCCTTCTAGGGGTGTAAAATCCTTTTAAGCATGGTTTCCTCTTAGGGTGGGGGCCCCTTGTCCCTGCATGCCTGCCTTCCAACTGTCCTTCATCAAAAGGACATATAAAACAGGAATAGGTCACTGAGGGCCTCATGTGACATTTGAGGACAGATGGCAGACACATAACCTCCAAAGTTCAATTCAACTGAGTGCTGTCTTTTTCCTTTTGCTCTGAAGTATGTTATAGTCTATCTACAGCCTGCCTTGGATGGGTCTAGATGAGGAGGGAGGGCAGGTAAGGAGTGGGGAAGTACGGTCGCATATGTGGAATTATCTTTTCATCCTTCCTTGACCTTGAATTTTTCTAGCATCTTTGCTTTGTTTTCGGCTGGGGAACAGGACATTCTGGTTAAATTTCAGTGGGTAGAGACAGAGGCATATGGAAGAGAAAAATAAAAACATTCTTAGCAGTACTAAGAATATATGTAGGCCAATAGAGGTTATATGCAGATAAATGTATGCAAGTCACTTATCTATTTCAAAAGGATAATTTAGGTTCATTGTATGATCCTACCGGAATATTTGGTTTTTAAAATGGAAGTAGGGGATTGAGGTTCTTGTCCCACGGAGTCGAAGAATGAATCTCATGGACAAAGGAGAGTGAATAAAGCGATAGAGTTTTATTAAGCAAGGCCACAGAAAAAGCTCTCAGGAGTGAGGGGGTCCCAACAGGGTTGCCACTGAGGGCTTTTAGGGTTGGTCTTTTATTGAAGGCTAACTAGGGAACTTAAATCCTTTTAAACGTCTCTACTGATAGCACCACTGAGTAAGGATTAGTGACAACACCTTTAATGGCTTACTTCCTTTTTAGGGGTCAGTAATTCTTTATTCATCACAGGTAGCTGTTGTAACAAGATTCCACCTCTGACACCTGGGGCAGGGTGGTCTGGTTTGTTCCCTTCTCTCTGGTGTCCTTACACCTCTGCACTTTTGGAATTTCTGTGCGCCTAATCCCGTAGCGCCCCGCCACCACACACACCTATCTCTCCCTACCTAGCCCCGCCGTCCCTTACTCAAAATGAGTCATTATTTCTTTTCTGTTTTTGTGACACAGGATGACAGTGATGTAGAATGGAAGTTTGCCCGTTCAAAACTTTGGTTATCGTATTTTGATGATGGAAAAACATTACCTCCACCCTTCAGTCTAGTTCCTAGTCCGAAGTCATTTGTTTATTTCGTCATGCGGATCATTAACTTCTCTAAATGCAGGAGGAGCCGGCTACAGAAGGATATAGAAATGGGAATGGGTAACTCCAAGTCCAGGGTAGGTATCCAAAATTCACCAAAACCTGAAGATGAATGTTCTGTCTTTCTCCTTGTCTTTGATGTTTGTTCAGTAATTTTTATGTGTGAACTTAGAAGATGTTGAAAGTTACTGTCCATTCCATAGTCTTTCACAGACTAATACTTAGTATCTTCACAGTGTTTCAAGAAATCGCTTAGTCTGTGCCTTGCTTCTGGTCAGAATTTCATGCAAAGTACCAGATTAAAAACAAAAACATCTTTTTAACTTGTTAAAAGTAAACAGAAATGTTATTGTGAGAAAATACTCTGGGTTTTGTGTGTGTGTGTGTGTTCCATGCTTCTCAACTGTTATTCTGATGTTAAATAGTTTTAACCTCACATTTTTCTCTTGGCTATATGTATAGTTTACCACCACCATATTCTTCTTATTTGTAGAAACTCTTGATTGGGCTAAGTAATTTTTTTTTTTTTACTATCATAAAATTGACACAGACCTAAGAGCATCCTCAAATATTAATCATAAGTACCATTTTTATATGTAATCAAGAATGGTTTGTCCCAGAGTTGTCCCATTTAAGTCATACTTGGGTTTTAGTTTGAGTCATACTCTGATTTTAACAAAGATGAGTTTTATGATAGTACTTTATAATAGTGAACTTAATTTTCAGAGATAGAATTGGTAGAGGAGGCAGAAGGATATGAGGAGGACCTCAGATACCAGGGAGCAAGACATAGAGGAGCAAATGTGTGGAGTTAAAATAGCATTTTTGCCTAAGTTGTGAAAATGGCCTGTAGTTGTAATACCCCGAGAGCCCACCAGGTGGCAATGTTACCTCCATAAAGTACAGGCCTGTTGAGCAGAGGTAGGTACTTGTTCTCAGTTGAAACTAGGGAAAAAAGACTGGATTTCTGCAATTTAATTTCTCACTTTAAAAAATAGATGTGCATTTCTAAGATTTGTAATACCCTGGCATCTTATTCTTTAAGGCTTTTAAGCCTTTTTAAATTTTACCTGGATGTGGGCTCTTAAGGCACTGATTGGGCTATCTCATCCCATGATTTCAAATAGTAGCTCATATGTACACAGTGAGAAGCAGTACAACGTAAGGAAGACAGCCTCTGCGTTAGACCTGGATTTGAATTTTGGCACTTCTGGCTTCCTAGCAAGTAACGTGGATAAGTCATTTCATCGTTCTGAGCCTTAGTTGTCTCCTCTGAAAGAGAGGAAATCTTGTAGGGTTCATGTGAGGATGATTTGAGAGAGATGTACACAGTTCCAGCCTCAACAAATATCAGTGCCCTTCCTCATTCACAGTTTACAAAGTGATTTGCTGTACATTTGAACCTCATGCAACACTGTGAGGTAGGTATTATTATTATTCCCATTTTATAAATAAGACCACTGAAGCCATTAAAGTAGCTACACAGGTCAGGGAGCTAGCCAGTTGTGGGGTAGGTGTGGAATCCAAGTTTTCCAGCATAAGATGTCTAGCTCTTTCTGCTGCACACGACTGCCTTATACTCAGCATCTTGCAGGGCCGCTGATCTCTTAAAGGGGCCAGGCTTTAACTGCCATCCTGGGCAATTCCTGCCATGACTGGAATTGAGTTTGTTTTGAAGGCGCTTCTTTTCTCTCGGGGGATTTATTAACTGAGCCTTTATTATTTAAAACCAGAAGCTTCTCAAGTATGGGAACCCACAGCTCTTGCTCTTCACAACTTAAAGTTTTCTTTCTGTAGAAAACTGATTTCCCTGACTTCACTCCTGAGAGTGTAAGTAAGTCAGGTCGAGAGAGAGCACATTCCGGTGGCTTGTGGCTGCCTGGGCCTCTGTAAAGGAAATGCAACTGGTGCAAAGGAATGTGAGGGGATCAGATGTGCTTCATTTGGGGTGTCCTCTCCTGCCTGTATTGCACCATTGGCGGAAAGAATAGCTTTTTTTTCAGAGAAGTTGCTGGAAGTAGAAAAAAAGTTGAGCGCTGATCTCTCAAGAGGCCATGAGCCTTGGCTTCCCAGTCTCTCCAGATCTAGTTTAAAACCATCACTTTGATTTTATTTTTTAAATTGTGCATGGAGATGTTTAAATCTCTTTAATATTATTAATACTATGAATATTAATAGATACTCTCTGTGTACTGACTTGAGTAAAAATTTGGAGAAATTATATGTCTCTGTTTTTCTTTTTTAGAAGAGAGGAAGTCGCCTCAAGAAATCTTTTGCACTAACCAGTAGTAAAACTAACCTCAGGCAACAGTCAGATACTGACCTCCAGTGGCAAAGAGAATTAATTTTATTAGCCAAGGTTTTCTCTTGGCCTGATGGTGCCACTTCCTTCCCCTTAGCATCCCAGTCATTCCTGAGTTATGACGCTGGGAAGTCAGGTGGCGGGTGAATACACATTTTGGCCTGGGGGCCCTGCCTTTGAATCATACCTAATCGGTAGCAGCTTGCGCAAGAGTAAGAGGCGGTCCCTGCTCACATGCATAAGGAGTAGCCAGTAACAGTGTGCTCTTCTTACTTTCTCTTTCTCCCCACTCTGAAGTTAAACCCTAAAAAGAGAGTGAGAAGAGAAAAGAAACCCAAAATTCTTTAAGCTTATTCTATTCAAAGTTGTGAATCTGAATCAGTATAAGGCCATGATACCTAGGAAGACACGTCATTCTGGCTCATATTTTAGTGTTATAAATTATCGAATGATCCATTCGAACTTGTAGTGTGTTTCTGTTCAAGTGTAGGAGACGAATATAGGCTCAGGAGGAGAGAGTTGCTTCTAGGCATCTTTGCCTTCTAGATGGCATGAATACATTTTGATAAAACATCCAAGTCCCCAGGGACAATTATGTTTAGTATGAGCCAGATTTTAAAATAGGTTTTCAGTTCTATTGCAGTTCACCTTGTGAACATCTTGACAAGTGTGAGCATGTTGCTCATGTTAATTTTTACTGTTGGAAATATATTAAATTACTTATGAATTCAACTTCCACAAAATGTTCCTTGGAAATGTTATCAGGGAGAATATAGTAGATTATATTTTTGGTTTCCCAATGAATGTATTCTAATTTACTAGGTTAATTGTATTTTTTCCTAGTTAAACCTCTTCACTCAGTCTAACTCAAGAGTTTTTGAATCACACAGTTTTAACAGCATTCTCAACCAGCCAACACGTTATCAGGTAAGCATTCAGTAGATGTATCTCTTTATCTGTATGTAATTCCCTGTGTGTGTGTGTGTATGTGTGTGTGTGTGTAGTGAGTAGAATTATGTTCTGATGTATTACAAGGATAGAACAGTAGAGAGAGAAAAATATTATGGTAGTTGGACAGGACTTTAGAAATCAGAGTCCAAGTCCTCCTTTTTTTGGTTGAGGAAAGAGTTCTTTGTGATATTAAAAGCAAAGTGTTGCCAGAGTTCCCAAAGAACACCTTCAAATACCTTGAGCTGGAAAAGCAGTGAAAGATATGAAATATTAGGAAAATAATGCTCTCATAGTATGGAAACCTGATACATTTCTCTAGGTAATCCATTTTTCCAATGGATTCTTAGGCTATATTGTTTCATCAGTACTACTTTAGAATATGTTTTGCATTTTGATATTAGATGTGACGTTTGAACGCTAAATTCCAACTCAGAAGAAGTTGTAGCTTTTTACTTTCCATCTAGTCGATCATTTTGACTGTAGACTTCTGATGTGTCCAAGACCACAAGAGTGAGGATCCAGGAATTTATAATGGATGGTGATGTCAATTAATGGTACAGTTTTGTACAGTTTTCTTGGAAGCAGCAAATTCTGCAAAATTGCTTGGCACACTTGATTGTCAAAGCCTTTTTAATGGTTACATTATATCCCATTATATGTTTATATTTAATATGTCAGTATTCTATCAGTGGAGATAGAGGATATGGCCAATATTTAGCTATTACAAGCAACACAGCAGTAAGTAACCTTGTATATATGACATTTGAAACGTGCAAATCTATGAAATTGTCTGCTATCTAGGCATTTTAATTTTTTAGTTGTTACCAACCTGATTTTGATTGAGCTTGTGCCAGTTTATATTCTTACAATAAATGTATGAGAGAGCCCATTTCCTCCTTAATGTACCAACAGTGTGTTACCAAAAGCTTTTTATCTTTGCCAAATAGATGGGTGAATATGGTATCACAGTGTAGTTTTATTTTGCATTATTTGTAATAAATGAACTTGACCATCTTTTATTTAGTGTTCCATATGTTTGAGATCCTATGTATTTACTTTTCTTGATGGGCTTTTTGTTATAAGTTAAGAAGAATTCTTTTAAGAAAATCAGCCCTTTGTGATATGAGTTGAAATTTTTTTTTTCTGTTTGTTGTGTGTCTGTTTAATAATTTTCCACCAACTTTCTGATTTTTGTATAAACTCCACAAAATTTTTATGGTTTTGATTTTGTATCCTGTTTAGAAAGGTCTTCCCCCACATAAGAATACTTAAGAAATATTTTACACACATTTTCTTGGTTTCACATTTTATATGAAAATCTTTGACCCATGTAGAATATATTTTGATGCAAAGTGGGGGTGGGGATCCAAATTTATTTTTTCTAGATGATTATATAGCTGGATATGTTGAATAATTATCTTTTTTTGATTTGAAATATCACTTTTATCACTTACTAAATTTCTTTATCTCCTTAGATTTATTTTTAGGCTTTCCATATGCAATAGAACCACATTAATTATTATAGTTTAGAACAAGAGTCAAGCAAAATATATGGACACAGACCTATATATACACATGTCCTCACTTTAAGACTTATTTTACATAATATCCTGGTTATTCTTTCTTGTTTATATTTCTATTTGAGCTTTAGAGTCAGCTTGTGTAGTTTGCAAAATATTTTGTTGGTATTTTTATTGTGGTTGTATTAACGTAAGTAAAATTGACTTCTTTATAATGTTCTGTCTTCCTTTTCAAGAACATGGTATACCTTTCCATTTATTCAGATCTTCATTTGTGTACTCAGTATCATTATAAAGTAGTCCTCCTATTGTTTATATTAATTAGGATTAAGTTTGCTGCAAACCCACACAAAACCACCAAATACCACCCACTAAGTAGTTAAAAAAAAGCATAAAATTTATGTTTAAAAAAAAACACAAAAATTTATTTCTCTCACCTATTCAAGAAGTCAAGAAGTGGTCATTCCAGGGCTGGTATGGTACCTACCAATGTCAGGGACCAAGGCCCTTCTATCATATAATTCTGTCATGACTGGCTTTCAGTCTAACGTGCTCTCTGGTCCAAGAAAGCCGTTGGAGCTCTGGCTCTTATGTATGCATTCCAAAAGACATTTAGAAGGTGATAGGTAAGAAAGATAAGCCTCCTTCTTGTAAGGAACTTCTGTAAAGTTTCACGACTTACCTGCAATGGAGGCTGGGAAATAAAGTCGTAATTCCTAGTGGCTATTTGCCAAGCTAAAAAACCCGTGAAGAGAATTGGCAGTCACTCCTGAAATGGATTATATTACTTGTCTTGGTGCTTATCTTTATGTCTTTACACACACTTCTATCTGTTACTTGATTTATAAGTTGCGAGTTTTATCTTTTCATCCTCCAGCTCTAAAATATGAGAAAATCAATGTGTTTATCTTCCATCATTTCCCCCCTTCTCTCAGCTTTTGTTGGTTAAATCATTAGAATTTGTGGGGGAGGAGGAAAAAAAAACACCTTTTCTCTATACATTAGGTTCTGTAGCTAGGGCCTGTGAATTAAACTGACAAAAGACAGATTAATGGGAGAAAAAAAACACAGTTTATTTACACATGCAAAGTGTACACACAGGAGAACTCAGTGATGAGTAACTCAAGGGGGTAGTTAGAATTTGGAGCTTATATACCATCTTATCAAAGAGTAGTAAATTTGGGGAGAAGTGACAAGACAAAGGAAAAGAGGTTTGCGTTCCCAGGAGTAGTAAATTGCGGGAGGGTAATATATGAGAAAACCAACAGAGGATTAGGGTTAGTTTATTAAGGTTTAATTGTGCAGATGCATCTCAGTGCCAATTCTGTATCTGCAGTGATGATGGTTGTTTTAATTCCTCCCGACATGGGACAGGAGAGAGGGAAGACCTTCATAAAGGGAAGTTTATGTCTTGCTTTTAGGCAGGTAGGAGAAGGGTAGTGAGCTCTTTCTGTGTTTTCTGCTTCTTAATTGACTTCAGCTCAGAGTAATCCTCATGCCAAAGTGCTATAAATATTGGGGTGGTATGTTCTGATCCCTTTCACTACCTGGTCAGGATTATAACCCACATTTGTTTTCATTCTAGTTCCACAGAGTCAAAACTCACCACTGATAATTTGTCATAATTTTTCTTTGTAGGTTAAAGTTTGTCTTCCTTTAGTTTCTTCAAAAAGAGCTTATGGGAACTATGTTCCCTCAGTTATTTCACATTCTAAACTATTTTCTGTATATTTATATTGACTTGCTATACAATTCTTTGATTTGACTTTACTTTCTTGATGTATTTGTAAATATCACTCCACTGCTTCTAGAATGAAATGCTGATGTGAAAAAGTTTGAGGCTGGATTGTTTTTCTTATACTGTTGACCTGAGATTTCGAATGAATTCCCAAATTTTCTGTTTATTTTTTAAATCCAATAACTTGCTGTTGTTTATTCTGTAGGTGAATCTGCGTGAATTTTTTCTGGACAAAGTATGTCTCTCAAATCCATACATTCAAGTCTTCTTTTATTTCTGAATAATTTCCTTAAATTATATCTTGAAATATTTTTTCTGTTCTTTATTTGGGCTATCTTCTTTAAAGATACCAGTTAGATGCCTGCTGAATCTTCTTTGCTTGTCTCTATAGCTACCATTTTTACTCTAATCCATTTGAATTTTTCATCCATTTCTCCTTTTTGGCTCCTTTTTTCTCATACTGTATCTTTTTTTTTTTTTCTTTTTGGTCTGTCTTCATATGTGCTACTTCAAGTTTACCTTTCATTTCTGTGATGATTTTATTTTCTTCTTCCTCCTCTTCTTGAGATCTTCAAGTTTATATATCCTTTCCTTTTTTTGGCTCACCTTATTTTCCTTGCCCTCTTTGTGCTCTTATTTTAAAAACAGGATTGGCTCATTTTTTTTTTTAAATGTATCTGAATGATGGCATCATGTATTTTCATTCTTTCTTTAACATTTTTCTGGTGATTTTTCTCTATTTGCTATTTGTTTTATCCTTTTTTTCTTAGACTATCTTAAAATAGACTTTGTGTAGATTCCTTACTGATTATTACTCAGTTTTGAATGAAGTGAGTTCTTGAACCAGCTGCTTTCAGGAGGTTGGAGTGTTGGAGAATTCCAGATCCTCATTCTCAGCTAATAGAATTTTCCTTTAGGCACAGAATTGTATATGTTCACTTTTTCTTCATGTTTCCCTATCAGAAAATAGCACTACAGGACTAGTCAGACACTCCCTCTCAACCTCACTGACTACTTCTAGCAAATATGGCTTTCCTTGATAATTTCTCCTTTACTCTTCTATACTAAGCTTCTCAAGATTTTGTATCAAAAAGTCAAGGGAAGTTCTCAGCCATGAATGTCCGCCCTTGGCCTTTCCTCACCCCCTGACCTGATCTTTTCATATAACCTTTCTAAAAAAGGTATGGATGCCTCTAAGATTCATCAAAGGAGTTTGTGTTTCTGTTTCTTATTCTCCTTGTTGCTTTTGAATGATTTAGAAGTGAGAGAAATTCCCAAGTTTATCGTCAAATTCAAACTTCTTGTGGTCTGAAAATTGTTATGCTTCTATAAACTCTGAGAAAAAAAGTTTTGATCAGCTATCAAACCTCACATGCCAATCAAACTTCATATAAATACCTTGATTATATTTAGATAAAGTCTTTTTACTATGAACTCCACAAGTGGTAACAATTGGTTTAGTTGTTATGGATTTTTGTTTCATGTAGTGTGATTATAATATATGACTTACCTTAAAGAAATCCTAGATCCTAATCTGCTAAATGGGGATTACTTTCTTCAAAGTGGTAACCTTTAGGGATACACTAATTCTAATGGTGCTACCACAGCTCAGAACATTTTTTGAATATCTCTAAAGAATTACTTTTATAATTAGCTTATGAGACACAAAAAATGCTTTAGTCTCATTACTAAACTCAGATATTCACTTTTCAACCAGA